CTTTCAAAAAATTTTATTTTATCATCAACCAAGAAGTAGATTAAAGGGCTTACACAAGCTTAGGATGATTCTACTCAACAGAAATTATTCAGAAAAGTTTATAGCCACCACAGTGAGTTTAGTTTCAATCACTTTTTTAAAACTTTACGAGACATTCGTAGAAAGTTACAGGGGTCGCAGAAACAACATTCAGATAATACAGTGGACTGGAGAGTTTAAGTCTCTAAGCTCAGCCTACTATGGTGGTTGAATTCTTTAAGAATATCTTGTAACAATACACCAATAATCGCTAATTCGTTAATGCTTCATTCTTGATTATAGGAGATCAGTTTGGAGGAAGGGCATCTTCCTTCAAACTTTTCAGCAATGGTTTGCAATTGCAGTTCTACAGACCCTCTCCACCCCCACCATCACCATCCTGCCCAGGACTCTTTCCACTGTCCTTAAAGAGGAATCAAAAATTTAAAAAGATACATTTCTGCATTATTAAACAACTCAGATGTGAACAAAGTCATTTAGAGTGGTCTGACGAGAAACGTGCCTCTTACCTCACAGAGTTATTAAATTTAATGCTTATGAATATTCTGTCTAATATCTGACACACTGTTTTATGATAGCTTTGAGAGGCTTTTTACAGAAGTCCAGAGAGGCCATGAGCTGTTGCTATAATTTTCTAGATTGTTATCTTGAGATCATAAGTTAATTAACTCGTTATGTTAAGATAACAACTTTGTTATCTCAAGATCACAACATAATTAGCTGGATATCTTAAGATAATTAACACATTATTTCAAGATAACAACTTTGTTATCTCGAGATGACAAGGCAATGAACTCATCATGTTAAGGTAATTTTGTTATCTCAAGATCACAAGATAATTAGCGGGATATCTTAAGATAATTAACGCATTATTTCAAGAAAACAACTTTGTTATCCCAAGATCACAAGACAACTAACACATTATTTCAAGAAAACAACTTTGTTATCTTAAGATCACAAGATAATTAACTTGTTTTTTTCAAGATAAAAACTTTATCACGAGATCACAAGACAATTAACTCATCATTTCAAGATAACAACTTTGTTATCTCAAGATCACAAGACAATTAGCTCGAGATCACATGATAACAACTTTGTTATCTGAAGATCACAAGATAATTCACTTGTTCTTTTAACATATCAACTTTGTTATCTCGAGATCACAAGATAATTAGCTCAATATCTCAAGACAATTTACTCATTATCTCAAGATAACAATCCAGAAAATTATAACTACCTCATGGCCTCTTTGGACTTTCATAGCTCTTAAATGTGTTTTTATATATATATATATATATATAATGCTATTCTGGTTGACTTTGCTCAGATCTCAGTATATTAAATTATGCAGAAATTTTGCATATTTTAATGAAATCTAACACTCTTTACTGATCTCACTCGCTAATTAGCACATTAGCACAGAGTAAAAGCTAAACGTTCAGCACACGAGGAGCCTAGGACTGAAATCTTAAACCACTGCTTCAGTTATTTCTAATACAATATATGACATTGAAATAGGTGTCAATATACACATACTTGCAAAAGTATTCACACCCCTGGGAACTGTTACAAATGACAAACGCCTTTTATTACTCAGTGTTTCCATGCAAAGCACTACTGGTGATAAGAGACCAATGAAATGAAGGTGAACTGGTTGGGTATGTATTCAGACCTGCATGCTGTGAAAGGCAAAAGCAGATGATCCTCAAACCAGCTTGTTTCACCACTGCTTTTTAGTTACTGTGATTAGCATTGTTATTTTCTGGACTGGATCTGAAGCAGGCGTGCCAAGAAATGTCTCAGCACTTTCGGGATAATGTTCTCACATTTCACTGATTAAGAGACGAATGCAAATTTAATACCACACAGTCTTGAATATCTTACTGATAATCACAAAAGTGCCTTTCGTTTATTCCATCTAAGAGTGTCTATTTCTCACAATTCAGCAATACAAGAAGAAGAAGACGACATGGCAGAAGGTCAGGGATGAACTGTAGGAAGATTGGAATGTAATGTGAAGTGCTGCTTGTGCTGGTTGATGTGGTAAAATGCCAAGAAACCAGCACATCATGAGTGGGCAGAGCGTAATGCATGCAGTTGAATCATGTCCCATTGATTTAAGTCCAGTATGGTGGCCGCAGCACCGAGTAACAGGGAAACCTTTACTGAGTACAGGCTGAAAGTCTGTTTAGTATTAAAACTGCAAGTCCAAAGAATATTAAAATATGTCCAGAAGTATCCAGACACCCCTTCAAATGCGCACCTATTGGTGTTCAATCGCACACTCACAGTATCTCCATAGAAAAGCTTTGCCAATAGACGCTCATGAACGGAAGGTCACCATGCCTGATGCCGAGCATCTGCTAGAGGGGTACAAAGACCCCCAGCATTGGGCTGTGGAGCAGTGGAGCTGTGTTCTCTGGAGTGATGGAGCTCCATCCAATACCTTTGGGATGGGTTGGAGTGATCAAGAACTGACCAACATCAGCACCTGACCTCACTAATGCTCAATCAAATCCTCACAGCAATGTTCCACCGTCTAGTGTAAAGCCTTCCCAGAAGAGTAGAGGCCGTTACTGCAGCAAAGGAGGAGCAAACTCCCTATTAATGCCTTTAATTTCAGAAGAAACACAGGAGGTGAAGGTGTCCATAAACTTTTGGACAGTCTGTATATATTTATTATGGTATGATTTTTTTCTGTGTATGGAAATATAAAACTGTGTTGCTGATACAGCCCTAATTCTCCTCTGAGGGTCTTTTATTTATTATGCAGACCACTGTCAATTATCAAAAGTATCCTTCTGGGTGCAGCCTATCAAAATAAAGTGGACAGGCAGGGGGAGGGGCTTACGTTATATGTGTCTAGTAGTATATGTCATTGCTGCCATAAGAGCACCATGCATCTCTGAAAAACTGGCAGCTGCTGTTTTCAAATGGCGTAAATATAATAAAAAGAAAGAATACAACATTGAATAAACCGAAAACCTACAACGCAATTTGAAGGATTTCAAGAACTTCCCAGTGCTGGAATACTTACTGCACACCTCATCACTCTGACTGTAAAAAGAGTTCCTCAGCAGGGCTTTAACTGAAGTTCAACTGTTACCATGGAGCAGGGCTGCCAACCATGATCACCAATGTGCCTTATATTACATCACATATATATCACTGCTGTCTGGACAAAACCTCCTATCTCTATTTTTTGTTGTTTTTCAGTTTATGACATAATTTGAAAATGCCTGTTGCCCTTTACATTGTTTGTAACTGATCTACACAATAAATGGACTAAAAGCCCAAAACTACTAGGAAAAAATTCTGGTTCCAGTGACTTTCATTAAAAGTAAAGTAGTTTTTTTCCTTTCTCCTGCAAAGTTACCATTTTGGAAATACATGGTTTTGTTCCCACAGCAGTGATATGTATGTTTGTATTTAAATATATATCATTGTGTCACACATCTTCTCCCTGCCTCTGTTGACTCCACACACTACAGTTCCCATGATTCTCTGGACTCTCAAACCATGGACTTGTTTAGTGCTGTGTTATATGCCATTATATTCAGTCCCTGTTACTGTGACTGTATTTAGTACATTCTGTTCTGTCTATTTTTGTTTATCCCTACATGGTCACTATATTGTATTATTAGTTAATTAAGCCACTTTCCGCTCTGCTGCACTGCAAAAAATGGTATCTTGTCAAGTGAAATGATCTTAAATCTAGTCGATATATCTAATATTTCCCATTTTGAGATGGTTGTGCACTTTTTATAAGACTATCTAGCTTATTTCTAAACACTTTTACTTGTTTAAGTAATTTTATCAAGTAAAATTATCTCACTATAGTGGAAGATTGGTTTTAGGCTCATTTCTTAAAACAAGCAAAATTATTTGCCAATATAATGAGAATTTTACTTAATAAAATGACTTAAAACAAATAGAAACAGTGTAGAAATGAGGTAAATAATCTTTAAAATACGCTTACAACATTCTAAACAGGAGAAACATTAGATTTACTGACCATATTTAAGATAATTTTACTTGAGAAGATACCATTTTTTGCAGTGTGGTAAACTAAGGGGGGCTGCAGAAGAGGCTACGGTCAGCAATCTTTAATCCTGTCTGATAGCAGTCTATAAGACTTAATTTATATACTGTCCATCATCAATTAGCATTTCTTTCCTTCTTTTATTTATTCTTTCTATTTATTGACTGGCATATTGTCATGTTATTCTTAGTCCATAAGAATTGAAGTGTTTAATTGGGCATGTTTTATATTCATGAGGGAAAAAATAGACAAATTTGAAGTACGGGACCCCTTTTGCTCTTATTATGTATTTTTTATGATTTCAAGCTCAATGTATAAGACAGCTTTTGTAGATTTGCAGATGGTTGGCAGCCCTGCTGCAGATGGTTTAAATGGTCAAGCATTTAACACAGAATTTGGATAAAACAGTGCTGGATTTCTCCATTTTTCAGAAGTAAATGACTGTGTATAATGTTTTGATGACATGCTCCCATAAGCCCTTTAATGCTAAGGAACGTTGCATTACAAAAGAAAGAAGTAACACAATATGTGCATCAAGATTTTCTCTTTTTTCTCTAGGTAGGTTTTTCATTAAAGGTAAAATTTTACAAGGGACACACTGAAGCAGATCACTCATCAAAAGGGAAAAAAAAATCAAGAAAAAAAGTATATAGAAATGTACCTGGCTAAGTCTAAATACCTAACACCGTCCTCTACCTGCTAAACCCCCCCACCCCACCCCCCCACCCCCCGCCCAACGTTCCAGTACTGGTGTAGAGGAATTCGGCTTGGTTATCTACTTTACACATAGTGATCACAGGCTTAGTTATTCTGGAAAGGGGCACATCCGTGTGGCATCGACCGAACGCCCCCATGAACCCACATCCCCTCCTTCCCTTCCTCTCTGGTTTCTATTTTTTGTGGTTTTGGTTGAGTTTATTCTAAAAAAAGGAAACAAGGGGAGTCCATAGAAAATCCATTACTTGGGAGAGCACGGACAGGTGCGGCTGACTTTAGAGTTCAGTATCTGGAGTAGGGCTGATCTCTGTACACTCCTTTGGTCGTCCTCGCCGGCGGAGCTTTGTTGCGGCCGTTTGTCCACTCTTCCTGACCTGAGCGGGAAGACACAGAGGGCAAAGCTGAATAAAAGTAGCATGGTCAGATGCTTAAACTCTAAAATGGCCCAAAGTTTTATTACACACTTCTATAACCCAGGAACAGCTCAACCAGTTTGCACTGAAGTCCCTGTAGTAACTCAGTAATAAGCCTTAGTATGTAATAAGCCTGGGAGAACCTGTAAAAAAGAGATTAGTTCAAACAATACTAGAAATGCCTATCCTGAACTTCCACCCACTGGCCACTTTATTAGAAACACCTACCTTGTACTTCCACTAACTGGCCACTTTATTAGAAATGCCTGTCCTGAATATCCCCTCACTGGCCACTTTATTTGAAACACCTACCTTGTACTTCCACTAACTGGCCACTTTATTAGAAACACCCACCTTGTACTTCCACTCACTGGCCACTTTAATAGAAACGCCTGTCCTGAATATCTCCTCACTGGCCACTTTATTAGTAACACCTACCTTGTATTTCCACTCACTGGCCACTTTATTAGAAACACATTTATCACAGGATCACTGTTGTCCAGGTACTGTTTAGGTGGTGGTCCATTCTCAGCACAGGACGGACACTGCTATGGTAGTTTATGTGGAACCGACACAAGTGTTTCAATGTTACTGCTAGGTTGAGAGTGGATGGCCACCCAAAACTGTTCAGAAAAGTATGGCTCTGGTCAGAAACTGATCATTGAGGAAGAACTAGAGGATGGCTAACACAAACTGTACATTAGTAGACGAACTACAGCCTCTAACTGTACACAAGCAAAGAGTTTCTAATAAAGTGGCTAGCAGTGTACATTTTCTTGTTTATTTAAATGAGGTATGCACACGTTACCATTATGCCTATTTTAAAATTGTAACCTTTGTAAATGTACAGGACACCTAATATATCTGGCACCGTCCAGCATCTTCCCTAGGCAGCGCTGTCTGAGACATTCGGCTAACGCTGTTGATAACAGACGCCGTCTGTCCGTCTAAACCGGCTCTCTGTCCTTCACCTCAGCCGGCACTCCTTTAATTGGAGCAGAAGATCAAATAACAACTTGAAAGGAGTTTAACCCGCTGTCTTTGTTGGGTGAGTCAGGGTGAGTGTTGGGTGGGTCAGCTGCACCATTAGCCTCAAGCTAGCGCTGCTTCACACCCGTCCGTGCGGATGAGCGAGGGCGCTGTCGATGGCTGTCTTTGCGGCTCTGCGGCAGCTGCGTTTCTCCGAGGTCCGCGGCAGCGTCCCCCTGCTGACAGAGCCTTTCAGAGACGAGCCCATATCCGATAGTGTTTAATTAGAGAGCTGTCAGTCGGCCCGTTAAACGCACGCCCTCTTTCAAAAGAAGAGGCTTCAGCCGCGCTAACCTTGTGTTTAGAAAGAACAAGAATGCCCACTAGCTGGTTAATCTAGAGGTCCTCTTTGAACTGTCAAGCTGTCCATTCTTTAGACCACCCAGAGAAAGCATCGTCTGGATTGTTTCAGAGTCTGTATGGTGTCAGAATGAAAGGCAAAGAGTTGGTGAGGGAGTGAAATGGAGGCACTGAACTGAAGGTTGCCATTTTTTTGAACAAATGTAGCCCTAGATGGATCGTTTAAAAGCAGTTCTATGGAACTGTTTTGAAATGATGCATCTAGGGCTACAATTAGTCAATTGTTCACAGTGGTGGTGATAGGAACCAGACGTCCACCTCTAAAAGCTCCCTCACAGAAAGTTCTTACACTATGTACTGCCTGATGTCTGAGACACTGTTTTACGATAGTTTGTTTTAACATTAGCTTTTCGCTGAAAACATTTTCTAACCACTCATGGTGGAGAGGCCCAATGCGGGGGGTCTATAAGGCCAAATAATAACCAAAGACAATAAACACTATCACCATTTTACCACCATCAACTTTACCTATAAACACTCAGAAGACTCACTGGTGGTTTTGGACAGTAAATAAAATGGCTGTATTTGTGTTGTAGACATTGTGACCCCTGGTTCCTATCACCACCACTGTAAAGACATCTGAGTCTCTACAGTGAACCGTTTCACACCAAGCCACTCTGAATGACTCTGTTTACATCTCAACCACTGAATTCTGCAGAAAGTTTGAAAAATTGGTGGAATTTCCCTTTAATTCCTAGCTACTGTAATTATACTGTAATTATGGCTAAGCCGAACAGAGAACTCACCGTATGAGTCATAGGATTCCCCACTTAGTCCATGGCCGTATTCATAGTAGTCGTCTGAACTGGAGAGAGAGAGAGAGAGAAAGAGAGAGAGAGAGAAAGAATATTAATCATACAGTGTAAATATCTTTGTTAGAATAACTGCTAAACTGAGAAAATGTGGTTTGCAACACTGATTTGTAATGAAGTGAAATGTACTTAAAAAGACATTTGGAATGCTGAGAAACTGCAGAATGCGGAAAACAAACAAATAAACCAAAAGAAAGAAAAACACAATAAAGGGCTGAAATATTCGGCAGAGTGACGTGATTGCTTCGCCGTCGTTTCTCTCAAAGGTATTATTTTGAGTTTCCACCGTCTGCTCCTCTTTTCTCATATGAGTTTTTCTCTTCTTTTTTCCGGTGTGGGACAGGCTGACTTCAGATCAGACGCTCATAATCAGACGCTCCCTCTGCCTCCTGCCAGCAATTTCCTGCTGGAAGGTTTTTCCATAACGTCGTCCCGTCAGCAGGTATGGCCATATATGAGATGTGGCAGCGTTTATGAAAAAAAGACGGAGAGACAATCTCTCCTATACTGTTTCACTCCTGCATCTCTCTCTCTCTCTCTCTGTTGTCTCTTCCTCTCTCACCCTGCATTGGAATCTTTCAGGATAGGCGTGATAAGTCTGTCTTTGAGAGGTAATTCATCATAGCCATGGCACCTCAGCCAATAGCGGCTCAGCTCTCTTCAGCCGGCTACCTCTCTTCACCTGTCACTCACTCTACTGTTGAATAAAAGCCTGGCAGCCTGAACCTCACTCTTTTGTGCATTCGTCTTTTCTCTTGTCAATCAACGCTGTGGGAGGGCAAAGGTAAACGGAAAAATAGTGCAGAAAAAATGTAAATTGTTTGTCCTGCACTTTTATTTTGAAATGTGTAGATCTGTTTACTTTCCATAAAGCTGCTTTGTTATGATGTCGATGGTAAAAAGTAACATTGACAAAAAATAAAAACAAAAAACACTCAATCCATCCTAAAATCCTATTCACAACAAGGACAACGTCTTCAGACAAAATATGTGATTTTTAACGCAGTGGAACTCATGCAGTGAAACTCATGCAGTGGAAACTCACATCAAGTCATCATTTCATTAAGTGAGTTTGTGGTTCTAACAGTTTGCGGTTCTTTCCGGACATGAACAGACCAGAATAGAACTCGATAAACTAAATAAAACAAAGCCCCAGTTTACACCTGGTCATTTCAAACGGTTTGAGTTTTGAGACTCTTTATATCTGGACAGAAATGCAAGTGTAAATGTATCCAGGATGCATTTAAAACAGATTTCAATCGTGTGATGTACAAGTGTAAATGCATCTGTCTCTCCAAGCCACATTCAACAATCAAAAATCAAACAATACTCTGATGGAGCTTGTGATTGGCTATCTTGTATTGTGCCTCATTCAAAAAGCACTCCAGGCTGAAACACTCCTTATAACTTCAGTGTGAATGGGCGGGGCTAAACTGCCATAGGCAAAAATGGATGGGCACATGTGCAAACCCAAATCCATAAAAGCTGAGACAGTTTGTGAAATGTATATGAAATAGAAAGCAGTGATTTATGAATCTACCTGTATTTGAACAAAAACAGTACAAAGACAAGATATCGCTGCTGCAAGAACAAAACCTTGTATCTCCAAAACGGTGACTTTACTGAAGAAGGAAAAAACATACTTCAATTTCAATGTAAGTCAATGGAACCAGACTTCTTTCCAAGTCACTTTGGGTCATTTCCTTTGGTCCATTCATCACGAAATTTACAAACTATGTCAAAAACTGAAAAATTATTGTTTTTTGTGAACGTTCGCTCATTCTGAAACTGATGCCCATAAAACTCCAAAAAAAATTGGCACAGGAGTAACTTAAGACTAGGAACATTGTGAAATGTTCAAAAAAACATCTTTAACAAATGAGGCAATCATGCTTGGATATAAAAGGAACAAAAGGAAAGGTCAAGGATGGGTTGAGAGAAAAGCCCAACAGATTAAAAATAATGTTCTTCAGCAAACGACTGCAAAGATTTTAGGTATTTGACCCTCTACTGTGCATCATACCATCAAAAGATTCAGAAAATCTAGAGAAATCTTTGTGTTTAAACGGTGACACTGCAAACCACAAATGAACGCTAATGACCTTCAAACCTTTAGATTGATACTGCATTAAAATCCGACATGCTTCTGTGATGAAAATCACCACATTTTTAGCCAGTGTCTGTCATGGTATGGAGGTGTATTAGTGGGAAACTATCTGTGAAGGCACCATTAAGCCTGAACACATTTTGGAGCAACATTCAGCTTTCTAGATGGCATCTTTTTCAGGGACATCCATGATTATTTCAAAATGATAACTCCAAGCCAGATTTTGCACATGTTACCACAGTATGGCTGCGTAGTCAGAGAGTACAGGTGATAAACAGGCCTGTTTGCAGCCCAGACTTGTCTCTCAACAAGGAAGGAGTTGTATGGTTGCACCGCTGAAAATGCATAACTGAAGAATAATCAAAAATCAACTTTCAAAAATGGATCAGTTTGTGTCTTCAGTCCTGAAATGATTAATAAGTGCTGTTAAAAGGAAAGGTGATGTAACATGGTGATTAACATACCCTTGTCCCAAGTTTTTTGGAGCACGTTTCAGAAATCAAATTTGGAATGAGTATATATTCACAAAAACAATTAAATTCATAAGGTAAATTTTGTGTTTTGTGCCAGGTCTAGCAGAAGTTTTTAATCAATGTTTTCTGTATTTATTTGTATTTTACATATTGTCTTTTTTTCTTTTGGAATTAGGTTTGTTAATATGTTGTTTTTTTGTGAACGATTAATTTGAAATGAGCTGTTTTTGCAGTTTTATTTCCATACATTGGCTGAAGCTCCAGACCCACAAGCACTGTCTGTCTGACTCTATCATAGCGAGCCCCGCGGAGGCTGAACAGCAGGAGACGAATAAGAGTGTGTTAAACAGCAAACACGTACACACAGACGCAGGAAGAAGTGAGGGAGCAGCAATATAGACAGATCAAACTGCGTTCTCCTTTAGCAGACTGTGCTAATGTCAGGGTCTGTGTTATCGATCACACCAACGCTGAACTCAATAAGCTCCACTTCACTCTGCAGCTTACACACAGCTAACCCAGCTCTCAGAGCTGAACGTTCAGGGGGTTTATGGATGTTAGGATTTCAGGGTAAGTGGCTGAGGTGTTTCCAGCCGTGTGGGTGGAGCACAGTCCCTTGGTTTTGTGGGGTTTGTTAAATGACCATCACTTTACGTTTCTAACACCCATCAAACTCACTCTACACGGTTCAAAACCTCAAAACAGCACCCAACACTCAAGAAACACAGTTCGTTACTGTGAGGAATATGGGGTGATGTGCTTGTTAGGAATGCGGGGTGATGTGGTTATTAGGAATGTGGGGTGATGTTTTGTGGTTATTAGGAATGTGGGGTGATGTGGTTATTAGGAATGTGGGGTGATGTTTTGTGGTTATTAGGAATGTGGGGTGATGTGGTTATTAGGAATGTGGGGTGATGTTTTGTGGTTATTAAGGAATGGGGGTGATGTTTTGTGGTTATTAAGGAATGTGGGGTGATGTTTTGTGGTTGTTAGGAATGTGGGGTGATGTTTTGTGGTTATTAGGAATGTGGGGTGATGTTTTGTGGTTGTTAGGAATGTGAGGTGATGTGGTTATTAGGAATGTGGGGTGATGGAATCAGGAATGTGTTAGGAATGTGGGGTGATGTGTTGTGGTTATTAACGAATGTGGGGTGATGTTTTGTGGTTATTAGGAATGTGGGGTGATGTTTTGTGGTTGTTAAGGAATGTGGGGTGATGTGGTTATTAGGAATGTGGGGTGATGTTTTGTGTTAGGGATGCGGGGTGATGTTTTGAGGTTGTTAGGAATGTGGGGTGATGTTTTATGGTTGTTAAGGAATGTGGGGTGATGTTTTGTGGTTATTAGGAATGTGGGGTGATGTTTTGTGGTTGTTAAGGAATGTGGGGTGATGTGGTTATTAGGAATGTGGGGTGATGTTTTATGGTTGTTAAGGAATGTGGGGTGATGTTTTGTGGTTGTTAGGAATGTGGGGTGATGTTTTATGGTTGTTAAGGAATGTGGGGTGATGTTTTGTGGTTATTAGGAATGTGGGGTGATGTTTTATGGTTGTTAAGGAATGTGGGGTGATGTTTTGTGGTTGTTAGGAATGTGGGGTGATGTTTTGTGGTTGTTAACGAATGTGGGGTGATGTTTCATGGGTGTTAGGAATGTGGGGTGATGTTTTGTAGTTATTAAGGAATGTGGGGTGATGTTTTGTGGTTGTTAACGAATGTGGGGTGAGGTTTTATGGTTGTTAGGAATGTGGGGTGATGTTTTATGGTTGTTAGGAATGTGGGGTGATGTTTTACGGTTGTTAGGAATGTTGTAGGAAAGTTTTATTTCCATACATTGGCTGAAGCTCCAGACCCACAAGCACTGTCTGTCTGACTCTATCATAGCGAGCCCCGCGGAGGCTGAACAGCAGGAGACGAATAAGAGTGTGTTAAACAGCAAACACGTACACACAGACGCAGGAAGAAGTGAGGGAGCAGCAATATAGACAGATCAAACTGCGTTCTCCTTTAGCAGACTGTGCTAATGTCAGGGTCTGTGTTATCGATCACACCAACGCTGAACTCAATAAGCTCCACTTCACTCTGCAGCTTACACACAGCTAACCCAGCTCTCAGAGCTGAACGTTCAGGGGGTTTATGGATGTTAGGATTTCAGGGTAAGTGGCTGAGGTGTTTCCAGCCGTGTGGGTGGAGCACAGTCCCTTGGTTTTGTGGGGTTTGTTAAATGACCATCACCTTACGTTTCTAACACCCATCAAACTCACTCTACATGGTTCAAAACCTCAAAACAGCACCCAACACTCAAGAAACACAGTTCGTTACTGTGAGGAATATGGGGTGATGTGCTTGTTAGGAATGCGGGGTGATGTGGTTATTAGGAATGTGGGGTGATGTTTTGTGGTTATTAGGAATGTGGGGT